AGAGAATCCAGGGGCCATGCTTTCCGGGGTTCCTCCAGTCTCAGTCAGACCATTAAGTCTGGTCTTCTTACTAGAATTTGAGTTCCGCACCCCACCTTTCTCCTGTTCCATCCGGGACTCGCTGTTGTGTTCTCTGTCAAGGCAGTCATTGGTGGTAGCCACAGTCTTATATGTAGTTTTAATAGTTGTATATTAGTCCATCATATGTGTGTTCTGTAATTTATTTATTAGACATTCAGATTGTTTTAAATTTTTTACTATTATAAGCAATAATAAGCATGTCTAAATGCATATCTTTTGTACATATTTTATTGATTTCCTGGTATAAATTCTTAGAAAGTAATTTACTAAGTTATGGAATATAAAAAATTTTAATACTTTTAAAATAAACTGTGTAATTGGCTTCCATAAAGATTTTATTAACTTATATTTGTTTTACGTTTACATTTTTATATTTCTACCAATAATGTAAAAAGGCTTCTGGTTTCTGTGTAATTTTGCCAAGCCTGGGTAGGATATATACATATATATTTTTTTATCTTGCCTAATTTAATGGCTTCTATTCTACATAGGTAAACCCTAGTGGCTTAATGGTGGAGAGCTATCACTGCTAACCAAAAGGTCAGCAGTTTGGATCCACCAGGAGCTCCTTGGAAACCCTATGGGACAGTTCTACTCTCTCCTATAGGGTCACTATGAGTCAGAATGGACTCAACTGCAACGGTTTTTTCTTTTTGGTATTCTATGTGGGAAGCCTTTGTGGCACAGTGGTTAAGAGCTCGGCTGCTAACCAAAATGTCGGCAGTTCAAACCCATAGCCTCTCCTTGGAAACCCTATGGGGCAGTTCTACTCTGTTCTGTAGGTCGGAATTGACAGCAGTAACGGGTTTAGGTTTTTTGGGTTTTTTTGTACTCAGTATGCAGCAAGTCATTTAATTCTCTGAGCCTCAGATTCCTTAACCTGTAAAATTAACTAATAAGTATACAATTCAGAAGTATAGTCATACAGAAAGTGATACTCGTGAGGAGTGTGCCTCTTAGCTCAAGTAGATACAAGAGACTAAATGGGCAGCTTCTATCCGGAGGTGAGATGGGAAGGCAGAGGGGGTTAGGAGCTGATTGAATGGACATGGGGAATCAGGGGTGGAAAGGAGGAGTGTGCTTGCACAGTATGGGGAGAGCAATTAGGGTCACATAACAATGTATGTATAAATTTTTGTATGGGAAAAAATTATAAAAAAGAAATATAGTCATAGATCATAAAGTTTATATTGATCACAGAGCCTGTTGATGCTCAATATGTGAAATGTAGTTCAAATGAGAAAGGACTGTGGATAAGTTGCTTAACACCAAGAGAGGCCCAAGGGCTGACTATCCAGGAGAGCACTGAGGACCACTTCTAGTTCAGAACCTCCAAGTGTTACCCAAACCTGAAGATTCTAATGCAGACAGTGATGTGGACAACAGGTATAATTCAAATTTATGAATATTTGTTATTGCTATCTTTCCTGTTAGAATGCACACCCCATAAAGGTAGGGATGTTTGTTTTGGTCACGGATATATATTAAGGACCTAGCATAGAACTTGACACATAGTAGGGGTTAAGTAATAAATGTCTGTTGAATGAACATATAAAACTGAATGCAGCTACCCTATGCCTGCCAAGAGACTGGACACCTGGTAGACCAACAGAGTGCCCTTCCCTGGATAAGTGTGGATGAGCCTACCATGAATGAGGTCTATCATTTTTAAGGACTCTTACAGTCACATAAACGAGTCCCGGGGTGGCGCATACAGTTAAGCGCTGGACTACTAACCGAAAGGTTGGCAGTTCAGACCCACCCAGAGGCGTCTTATAAGGAAGGCCTGGTGATCTGCTTCCAAAAGGTCAGAGCCTTGAAAACTTTATGGATCAGTTCTACTCTATACACATGGGGTCACCATGGATCAGAATCAATCAATTCAACGGCAACTGGTAAAAAAACAGTCACAATTATAAAGTGATTATGTTGTGGTCTAGTTCACCAGTCTGTGTATTTCCTCTACTAGGATTTTAGCAAAATTAACCAGTCAATTAAATACAATTTAAAAGCTATAGAGTGGCAAATCCTGACCAAAACAAACATGCTGTGTTGCATGGTGTGGGGATAGTAAGGTTAGAAACCTTTTATAATCTTCATGAAAAGAATAGCTTTTCTTGCCAGATCAAAATATAACCATTTCAGAATGCATTTTCAACAGTGTGTGAAGGTACATGTTCTGTAACCTAACAGTGGTTCTCCACCCAGTGTGGAGTGTCCTGATACCAGCCAGTAGTAGAGACTCATCTTTTGTTTAGTGACTAGTTACTGAGTGCCCTGTGAGAGGCCTTCTTACCACAGCGGCAGACTGGAAATTTGAACTCTTTCAGACACCCCCAGCAGACACCCAACAGAAGCTGGAAGGCAGTCCATTTACAGATGTCAACACAGTTGCTGTATCTGTGGGCACACTCTACTGTGCCATGCTTGACAGATCATGTTTTATATTCTTCAAGTGTACCTTATTTCCACTGAAATATACTATCAAGTGCTCTGTGACCTTTTGCCAGGGGAATGAATTATGATATTTGATAAAAGTGTCTTCTTTAATAGCCAAGAGTTTTAAACACAGTGTACTGAGAGCTAGCATGGTGGTGAATCGGCAGGATTGTGGTAATTTGTGCATGGTGCTTATTCCGGATACACGTGAGAATGTTAGCTACAGGGCCTGGGTTTACACAGGACTCAGCTTGATGTTTAAAGATCTTCTTTTTCTCTTCTGCAGGTTAATTATGTATGGTTTTGTGCAGGGTATGATACATGCCGGCCAGTTGAAAAATGGAGACTTTCATTTCACTGACTGCTTATTTTTTGGTTCGCTGATGTCTGCTACAGATCCAGGTAATTGTTCAAATAATATATTTTCTTTTTAAGTATCAAACATTTAAATTGACTCTTTCTCTAAAGACCATCATCTGACTCTGCATAATAATTCCTTATGCTTGTTGACTTGCGGGTGACCTACCTGTTAGTGATAGCCGATAAATGAAACAGGCGGATATTCTCTCAAGCATTGCATCAGAAAGCAATTTCAGTTGTGGGAAAGACTTTTAAAATGTCTTTATATAGTTTACTTTTCTAGAACATGTAACTGTTTTCAGCTGTATTTCTTTCTTTTTCTCCACATCATCTTTCAAAAATGATCTATTGAATTAAATTTAAAAAAAAAAAGCAAGAAAAAAGATTTAAGAAAACTGTTTACTGTGGAACTTTTTAAACATATGCAAAAGCTGGGAGAAAAGTAAAATGAATTGCAATATACCCTTCATCAGTTATCAACTATGGCAAATCTTGTTTATCTATATCTCCCCTATTCCCCATGACAGGATTAGGTTAAAGCAAATTTCAGACATCATGTCATTTATTTGTAAGTACTTAAAAAAAATGACCATTGCTATTATAAAACCCAGAGAGAGTAACAATACTTCTTTAATATTTTCAAAGATCTACTCACTATTCAGATTTCCCAAATTGTCTTAGTGTTCTCCTTATCCTTATGCTTATCTTTATCCATTATCATTATCAGTTTGTATTGTAGCTTGTACAAATAGGATCCAAACAAGGGCTTCACGTTACAATTGATTGATATGTCTGTTGAGTTTCTTTGACCCGCTGTTTTCTATTTTTCTTGACATTTATTTGTTAAAAAAAAATGAGCTAATTTGCCTTGTGGTTGAATTGAATGTGATTGTTTAATATGTGCCCCTAGCCCCTGTATTTCTTGTAAACTGATGGTTAGATCTAGAGGCTTAATCAGACTTAGGTTCAATTTATTTGGCAAGACTGTAGGTTGTGCTGGGAGCTTTCTGTTGCATCACATCAGGAAACGCAGGAAACATACAATGTCTGGTTGATTCTGACCAGTTGCTGTCCGTTCTGTCTCATGATGACCCCATGTGTGTCATGTGTGTCAGAGTAGAACCCTCCATAGGGTTTTCAGTAGCTGATTTTTCAGAAGTAGATTGCCAGGCTTTTCTTCCAAGGCATCTCTGGATAGACTTGAACCAACAACCTTTTGGTTAGCAGCTGGGCCATTAACCGTTTGTACCACCCAGGCACTGTATTAACTGGTCTTCCTTGTAGGCATATGAATATTATCCTATCACTGACAGCGTTGTACTTCAGAATAGATCTTGAAATGTTCTTTTTGACGATGAATGCAATGCCGTTCTTCTTCAATTTGTCATTCCCAGCATAGTAGACCGTATGATTGTCCAGTTCAAAATGGCTAGTACCAGTCCATTTCAGCTCACTAATGCCTAGAATATTGCTGTTTATGCATTCCATTTCATGTTTGACAGTTTCCAATTTTCCTAGATTCATACTTTGTACATTCCACATTCCTATTATTTATAGATGTCTGCAGTTGTTTCTTCTCAATTTGTGTCGTGCCACATCAGCAGGTGAAGATCCCAGAAGCTTGACTCCATCCACATCATTAAGGTCCATTCTGCTTTGAGGAGATAGGTCTTCTCCAGTTACATTTTGAGTGCATTCCAACCTGAGGGGCTCATCTTCTGGGACTGTATCAGACAGTGTTCTGCTGCTATTCATAAGGTTTTCACTGGCTAATTTTTTCAGAAATAGGTTGCCAGGTCCTTCTTCCTAGTCTGTCTTAGTCTGGAAGCTCTGCTGAAACCTGTCCACTGTGGGTGACCCTGTTGGTATTTGAAATACTGGTGGCATAGCTTCCAGCATCAAAGCAACATGCAAGTCCCCACTGTATGACAAACTGACAGAGGCATGCGGAGAGAGTGTTAGAAAGTATTTAATATAGGATTTGGCTTGTGTTTGATGATTTTAGGGAGAGTTTAAGGAATCATGGCTTTGCTCTGGATTAGATACTGTCAGGAAGTGGAAGAAATTCCATGATTGGGCATCTTGTTGTTGTTGGGTACCATTGGGTTGATTCCAACTCATAGTGAGCCCATGTGATAGAGTAGAACTGCCTCATAGTATTCTTGGCTATAATCTTTATAGAAGGAGACCACCAGGTGTTTCTCCTGCAGAGCGACTGGGTGAGTTTCAAACACCAGTCTCTTGGTTAGCAGCTGAGCACTTAACCATTGCACCAGCAGGGCTCCTTTATTGGGCATCTTAGTAAATCTTATCTAGAAAACTAGACTGAGGCTAAATTCATAGCTGGTAAAGAAGCAGGAGCCACTCATATTAGCTGGGAAAGGGGGTTGTTTGGGCAGTTTTGTGGTTTGGACAAGGTTCATTATTTGTGTTTAGAGATGATTATACAGTGGTCTTGTTTTTGTCTTAAATCGTCATGGTCACAATCTGATTTTGTCTTATGTTTATATTCTGTGAAATTGCTTGTGTCCAAGAGGAGAACACCAAAGGCAGCTCCTAAATGTCAGGGGCTGCTTTTCTCTTTCTTAGAATGGTCCTCCTGTCGGCAATATTGGCTTCACCGGGTGGTGCGTTATCAATGTAGAATCTCCAGTGCAACCCCAAACTTAATCCGATTCTGGAGTTTAACAATATCCTCAGGTGATCCATTTGTACGTAAAAGTTTGAGAAATACTACATTCTAGAATTCCTCATTTTACCTACTGGTAACCAGTGATGGTCACTGCCTAGTCCAGTATTTGACAGTGATCACAAAGCAGTGGTATGCTAATTCTACCCTACATTTTGCATTTATTAGTTGATACTCTTCTGTAACACCATGAGTCGGAATTGGCTCGAGGGCAACTGGTTTTAACTGGTACTGTAGAGAAAGTACTTTCTCAAATCAACTGTTTGAATACTCTGTAGTAGTTTGAGAAAAGCTGGGTAAGTATTGATTCTTTCTCTTTATTTACTAATTCTCAAGTTAATGAATTATTCCTCTAGCATTCTCCAAATTTGACCAATGAGATCTTTTTTTTTTAAAGTATCATTATGAACGTATGGGTTTTTAATGTATTTGATATATTTCAATCTATTAAGGTCATTATTCTTTTTTAAATTTGGTAAAATATATATAACAAAAAATTTCCCATTCAACCATTTTTAAGTGTACAACTCAATGGCATCAATTACATTCATCATGTTGTGCTACCATCAACAAAATCCATTTTCATAAGTTTTTCATCACTCCAAACAGAAACTCAGTGTCCCTTAAACAATAATTCCCCATTTCCCCCTTCTCCTAGTGCCTGGTAGCCGTTAATAAACTTTTGTCTCTATGCATTTGCCTATTCTAGATATTTCATAGAAGTGGGATCATCCAATATTTGTCCTATTGTGTCTGACTTATTTCACTCAGAATAATGTTTTCAAGATTCATTCATGTGGTAGCATTTATCAGAACTTAATTTCTCTTTATGGCTGAATAGTAGTCCATTCTATGGATATATCATATTTTGTTTATCTATTCATATGTTAATGAACACGTAACTTTTTAACTGTTGTGAATGATGCTGCAGTGAACATTGGCATACACATATCTGTTTGAGTCCTTACTTTCAAGTCTCTTGAGTATATACATGAGAGTGGAGTTGCTGGGTCATGTGATAATTCTGGAGCCCTGGTGGCACAGTGGTTAAGAGCTCATCTGCAAATCAAAAGGTCGACAGTTCGAATCCACCAGCCGCTACTTGGAAACCCTATGAGGTAGTTCTACTCTGTCCTATAGGGTCACTATGAGTTGGAATCGACTTGACAGCAATGGGTACGATAATTTTATGTTCAACTTTTTAAAAAAATATATTTTATTGTGTTTTTGGTGAAGGTTTAGACAGCAGTTTAGGTTCCCATTCAACAATTTCTACACAAGTTGTTCAGTGACATTGGTTACATTCTTCACAACACATGAACATTCTCATTATTTCCTTTCTGATTATTCCGTTTCTATTAATCTAGTTTCCCTGCCCCCTTGCATTCTCATCTTCATTTTAAAGTAATTGTTGACCTGTGGCCTCGTGTAGGTGATTTTTTATAGAAGCACAGTACTTATGGGTGATTTTCATTATTTTTTGAGCCAATTTATTATTTAGCTACAAGGTGACTTCAGGGGTTGTCTATGTTTAAGTTTTTGAGAAACCATCAAACTGTTTTCTACGGCTGTTATAGGATTTTACATCCCCACCAGCAATGCATAAGAGTTCCAATTTCTCCAACATCCTCACCAACACTTGTTATTTTTCATTTTTTCTGATAATAGCCACTCTAGTGGGTGTGAAATGATATCTCACTGTAGTTTTGATTTACATTTCCCTAATGACTGAGTACCTTGAATGTATTTTCATGTACTTATTGGCCATTTGTATATCTTCTTTGGAGAAATGTTTATTCAAGTCTTTTGCCCATTATTTGGATGGGTCGTTTGTCTTTTTGTTGTTGAGTTGTAGGAGTTCTTTACATAGTCTAGATATTAAACCTTTATCAGATACGTGGTTCCCAAATAGATTCTCCCATTCTGCAGCTTGCTTTTTACTTTCTTGATAAAGGCCTTTGATGCATAGAAGTTTTAATTTTGATGAAGTCCAATTTATGTAATTTTTCTTTTGTTACTCATATTTTAGTTTTCATCTCTAAGAACCCATAGTCAAAAACTAGGTCCTAAATCATTATCTGTATGTTTTATTTTAAGAGTTTTATGGTTTTTAGTTCTTATATTTAGGTCATTGATTCGTTTTGAGTTAATTTGTGTATATGATATAAGGAATGTATCCAACTTCATTCTTTTGCATGTGGAAATCCAATTGTCCCAGCACGATTTAGACAATTGTTACCCCATTCAATGGACTTGATGCCCTTGTCAAAAATCAATTAGCCATAAATGTATGGGTTTATTTCTTGGCTCTCAATTCTGTTCCATTGGTCTATATGTATTCTTATACCACTAT